CCTGCACCTCTCTGCTAATCTAATGTCTGGGACTTTTTGTGAGGTGTTCAACAGCAAACATTTGGATTTGACTTGGGCCCACATAAATGACAGCAGTACTGAGAACTTACTTGCCAGAACCCATTCAGTTATTATCTCAAAACAACATCAGACATTCAAATGTGACAGGGGATGATCACACCACAGGAACTAGATGTGAGCAGGCTGGAGATAAGAGAATATGAACTTCATGGATTTTTCCACCTCCTCCTTTCCTACTCCCCACTCATCCATATTAAGTCTGGTGCTTTTCTCCCTGAATAATCTGATTCAGCTCACTAAAACAATGAAAAACTAACTCAGCAAAAGAGTTCATAGTCTTCCATCTGTTTAGTGAATTAAATCAGTTCTTCAAGGGCTTACAAAGATGACAGAAAAAGAGAAAGACTGTAAATCTTGAAGCAGGGAGGAAAACGGGGCGAGGAGAACTGCCTTTTTGGGTGGCACTAACTTGGTACATGGATTGAGACGTTTCTTGTTACCTACTCTTTCTGACTCATTACAACACTACAGCCATTCTCCCCCAAGGCTGTTGCCCCTGAGATTGTGCAGAACAGGGGATGGAAAATCTACTGAGATAGTACTCCTGATGTAAATAGTATTCCCATTAGTTGAGGAGAGGAGTGGTTCAGAGTCAGTTTCTCTCTGATCTGGCACATTTTAGGCCTAACATTGGGCCTACAATGTTGAGTTAATGAACAGAAGACTGCTGGGTTGCAGCATATCCAGGATCATCCTGTCTTTCTGCTCCTCTAGATACAGAATTATAAGGTATCATTTGACTCTTTGGCAATTTAGCATATGGCTAAATTTAGCAATGGCATGGCCATTATGGGGTGGCAGCTATGTAAAACAGCAAAGCCATTCTGTCCCACTGCTCCAGGGCAGAAGAAATTTACAATTTATGCTCTGGATAGACCATGAGGAAAAGTCACTCAGTTCTCATCATTAGATCCCTCACTGCCCATGCATAACAAATCCTTTCATTTAACCTATCTTCAACATTTAGTTGCTCTCAATTAGGAGCAGACATTCAGCCACAACCATCCCACTGCATGCCCCGGAGATCCTGCTTCTTCACTGCTCTTAGTCCAGACATCTCCAAGAATGCAAAAGGAATGCAAAACAACCCCTATCCCCACTTGGGCATCATGTACAGCTGCTCTGTTCAGTATTGCAAAGGGAGGTCAGGTCATTGAGAGTGGCTGATGTTCAGGAGATCCAAGTCCATGCAATCTAGAGGTAGAAAGATTTTTGAGACATAGCTTGCCTTTTCATCAAGGCAGAGAATTTTAAGAAACATATCCTAAGGAAAATCTTGTCCTCTTAACTGAGCAGTGCCTGCAGATAGTCTATGTCCCCATTAATGTAGCTAATCTATACATTCCTGAAATTATGTCTGTAGGGAAAGCACAACAAACTGTTGTGCTGCTTCCTGCCCAGATCTGCAGTGTGGTTTTGGTAAACAATGGACTGGAGTGGGGCTGGAGATGCAGCTCTCTTAACTGAAGTTCACCTTTCAGCTGTTTCTATATGGCTGCCACCCATGGCTCCTTGACTGGTTTTGTTCCAGTGCCTCAATGCTCTGCATAATTCTTGCTCAGAGGAGCTCTCCCAGCCATGCCAGTGGCACTACTCAGGTAAATAAAAATATTCAAGAAGGTTTATATGTCTGCACCTCAGTGATTTATCTTAGTCTTCCTTTTCTTCCCAGTTGTACTGGGAGGTTACACCAAGGCTACTGGTTTCTATGTCCCAGAGCTAAGAAAAGGTATCCGAGATAACTGAAACCAAGCAGACTAGTACTTGAACACAGTAAATTACTTGCTTTCCCAATTCTTCCAGGAGGAGTTCTATGAGAAATTTCACAGTGACTGCAGTTGGGAAAGAGGTCTCTGATTTCCCCATGTATCCCCATCAGCACTCACCTCAGATTAGCTTTCCTTCTTATGGTCTGTCAGCAGCCTTGAGATCAAGGAGATTTAAACACTGTGGAAACTCATTAATGAGCCAGGACTCTCTGCAACAGCTGGACCAAAAATGGACTACATTTGGCTGCATCTTAATTCTCTGCCATCTCCCCTCTGCTCATCAACACCTGCCCACATTTGGGATGCTGTGTAAGACCCCTGAATTCAGCTCTAAGCAACCAGTCTGCAATGCACATGTCTAATGCTCTGCTGGTGTGGAACCAGTATGCTGGTAATCCTGTTAGCAATGGCAGAAGCTCCCTCTAGGAAATTATCACAAATAGTCTTAAACAATTCCTTTTGTTGACAACTCTATCCAAGAAACCATCTTCCCTGGAGACTTCACTCAACTTTTGACTAATCCCCTCCTTCCCTCAGGAGCTCTTTTGTTGAGGGAGATTGTAGGCATACCCCAGGAAAGACAGGTCTCTGTAAGCCTTGGATGAGCCTCCACATTCTTTCAATTGTCAGTCCCCATCTGTCCTGTTTGTACATCGATCTTCTGGTCCAGGGAGCTCTCTATTAAGTGACACATGGCTGAGTATATTCTGCAAGTCCAGTGTCCAGACTGTGCTGTTACCTCTTCATTGCCAAGCCAATCCTTCTGACACTGCTTTCTGAAAAACAAAAGGCAGGACATCTGCACAATTTCATTCCCTTCTACTGAAAGGTGACTTTTGAAAAACACACACAACACCCCTCAAACTGTGTCCTTGTTTTATAATCTCAAAGACTTTTCTTCATTTTGTCAATATACGGAGTTATTTCAAAGGTCCTTGGTGTAAGGGAGGGTACAATCTGCCCCTATCGCAGAGGAATTCTATCAGGGGAAAAATCCATGGCCTAAGTCCTGAATCAAAAAGAAAAATAAATCCCAATTACAAATACTCTGCAGGGCCAGTGCCTTCAGTTATTCTGCTTGTCAAAAGCTGGTTTAAAACAGGCTCTTCTCTTCCTATAGATTCAGCTACACTTAGCTGGTACAGTATCACATATATGTAGGAGGTGCAGCATTAAATATCTGAATATTTATTTTGAGAGGCAGAATGAGAACAGTAGCAGATTCCAATGACCCATATGTTCCTCCTCAGCAGGTAGAGGGAAAGTGGTGGGTGGAATAGGGCAGAAAATGGGTGGAGTGTTGGCATGGAGTATATATCACCCTGGGATAGACAACTGACAGTATCTCATCTTTTCCTGAAACCAGAAGGAGAGCAAGGAGGAGTCTCTGATGATGTTTTGTCCCTTGTTGTGTTGCTCGGGGCCCATGGATTCAAGATGGAGCCTAGTATGTTTAGTTTTTTGGTTTTGTCTATTTTTGTAACTTAAGTCAGGTTGGCAAAGGAAGGAAGGCTGGCCAGTTTCATTATGGCCAGTTTCATTATGTTCCCAGGAAATTCCATTCTCTCATGTGCCAGCTTGAGGCTTTAGATGCCTATCTGCCTCTCATTAGTTTTGAAAAAGTATACAGAAGCCCCTGCTTTCCATTGGTAGCCTATTAAAATGACAAAAAAGAAATACTGTTTCATTTATAACCTTGCTTGCATGTCTGAATCCAGATGCCTTTTTTAAAAAGAGAATTAATAATATGAACACCATCACATATAGAATGTTTTCCTGCAATGAACTGCAGAAGAAAACTTGAGTTGACATTTAAGCTTGTCTAGCGTGCTTGTAAGCACCTAAAAAAAAGGTACACAATCATTTTGAGGACAGGTTAATGTATAACAAAAAATGTTAAGAGTTTCTCCTAGAAGTTGCAAGTTTTCACTATTTTAAATGATATATTTGTGAAATGCTCTCTAAATCATTTAAAATGGGCCAAATCCAAGTTCATAGAACATTGATGCATGAGTGCCCTCCTCAAGTGAGTTGTCCTAGAAGCCTTAGTGGAACTGACAGCCAGCTTTTCTGACAGGATTAGTTCTTGTCTGATCACAGAGAGGGAAAAGCCATCCTGTCTGCACTCAGCTGAGCAGGTGAGCAGGGAAGGCATTCAAGCTGCTTCCAAAACCCAGTCTGGTCACAGCACTGGCAATGTCAGGTCTTTCTTAAAAGGATTCCAGGCTGGCCTCTCTGCCTGCTGTTGTCTACATGATGAGTGCGGAAGGGGTAGAGAGGCTATGTCCAGGCACTGAGTGCTGGGACCTGGTCCTATAGCAGGTACATGCCATCTACATGCATTTGAAAGCACAGATGGTAGCTGGGGTGTGTCCTGCTATCCTAAGGTTGCCTCTTAGCTTGGCAGACAGTAAGATAGTCAAACTAATTTGGCCTCAAAATCAGTTTCCAGGTCTGCCCTGCAAGCACAGACCCAGCAGTAGCACTGACACGACACATGCTGCTAACAAATGCACAAAGTAAACAAAGAGACAGGATATAATAAAAGGATATGTTCTGGTAATTTTTTTAAATAACAGTGATTTTAAGTGACCTTTTGGTCTTCTGTAACAAAAAGATGAAAAATATTGATGCTGAAGCATAATTCTGAAACCTGACATTAAAATAGTGATTAATTAAAACCAAAGATATTACAAGATAAGGAGATTTTTCCTAGCTCTGCTCAGGTTCCAATGTGTGTGAAATCAAAACAAGTAAGCTATGAAATGTGAACTCAGTAGGCAAGGGCAAAGGAGAACAAAGCAATTTGGTCAGTTTAAGCAATGGGGAAATGAAGCAATACTTTGACTGGGGAGGCATTGGAGGAAAGGGCACTGGTCTGAGACTTGGCAATATGACAAAACAAATTCAAAGCTCCCATGATACCACTGAACATTGTGCATTGGGGGCCATTGGCTTGCTGATCTCTTCTCTCTGAACATGAGATTTCCCACTTTGTTCTCACCCTGGATGTGATCATCCAGCCCTGAGTATCAAGTCTATTTTCCCACCTTCAGTACACGAAGGAATTAATATCCTAAGGGTGATGGCAGCAGCTTTGACAATGGCAACTACGTGCTTACCTAAGAATTATTCAATCATCCATGATTTCTACCAAAACTTGCTAGAACCTCCTGAGACACGGCCTTTTCGGTAAGAAGCAAACAGGTCACAGATTTCAGGTTGCAGTCTCACCCCTGGAACTGTGAGCACTGATTGTCCTGTGGAAAAATCAGGTTAAAGAGAAAGCTGCAAAAGGGTCCTTTTCCTTCACTGTACTACTTTCTTAATGCTCTCCTGTGACATTAGCTGCAATATAAACTAATTCAAGATCCCATTTCTCACAGCTGCATTCTTCTGATTGTTTTTGGAAAATTATTTCTTTAATCTAGACACTCTTCTCTAGAAATCTCATCTGCAGTTTCTTTTCTTTTTTTCATTTTCTTTTTCTTGGAGCAACCAGCAAAATACTATTTGGTAGAACAGTGGTAGGAAGGCAACCCGCTAATCAAAAGGATTCAAATGGATCTGCGCACTGCCAAGCTCTCTCCTTCCCACCCAGCAGAGGGGAAAAAAAGAAAAAGAAAAAAGAGATAGAGCGAAGGCACAGAGCTTCTCTCCTTCAGCAATCTCACAAATGCAAAACCTTCCACTCCAGTGACTCCTCATTAACTTACCAAATCTGACAGTCTAATTATCGTAGCTGCTTCACGCTTAGAATAAATAAATACTAAAGTGGGTGTTTAAAGAAATTGAGCAGTGAAATTCAGTCATCTAGACAGTCAATAGAGAGTTTATTTTAAATTTTTATATTCTTATGTATTTATATCATTTTCGGAAAGATAATGAGATAGTTGTCTTTCAGGCTAATTGAGTTCCTATGCTCATGGTTGCTTGCTGTCACAATCTCAAACTTAGCTTTAACTTTTGTGCCTTAGAAATCTGATCACTACCTCCCCGTTTACTCTTTTCTGCTGATAACTGGGTGAAGTCACAAGTGTACCTGAGGATGGGAAATGACTATGTGAGACTTTCAGTCTGGATGTCTTTTCACAGCAAACAAGACAACTAAATGTTTTCAGATTTGCATTTAAGAGTGTTAAAGGGAAAATGGAAGTTAAAGAAACCTCAGCTATAACTTGCAATTAGACAAAACACAGAAAAACATCTGCAAACCTCTGATGCAATAGTGTCTGCCTCCACGAACGGTATTAACAGCACTCCCCCCAAGAGTGGTTTGTCTCCCTGAACAATAAGACCTTTATAGAGATTCTCTGGCCTGAGATCAATGGGAGCCAGAGCATTTGATCCATGTCTGTAGGACTTTGTTTCCACAAGTCATGTGGGCCAAACTTTGCGCCAGTTGCTTTTGCAAGAGCAGGAGCTGGGGAGTGAGCAAAGGAAATTTTCCTTTTTCCCATCTTCCCCTTTGCCCCGTGCTCCTAAACAGTGCCCAGCACAATGCCTGCCCCAGGAGAGCATGCAGGGAAGAGCTTCAACAGGGCAACATGTCAAGGGCCCTGTGCACTTGGCAAGCATCCGCTGTGATGTTGCAACAGCTCTTTCCTAGGGTGGTGGCTTAATGACACAATACAAAACTTTCATGTCCTGTCAGTATGAAGGCAAGCACATCTTCCACCACTGTGGGGATCACACCAGGTGAAGTGTGGGGTGGTTTCCTGAGTTAAGTGAAGATTTATTTTATCACCTCACAGATAAGAATGCTTCTGGCTTAGGAGGGGCAGACGATTTCCTGCTCATCACCAGCTTTGGTTTATTCCTGTATTAAGACACATTATAAACCAGAATAATACACCTGGCAGGAACTTTCTAGGTGTCTGTATCTGACTTACAGTGAAGGATATCTGTTTGCTGTGTACAGAGGTTACAAAGCGGAGTGGTAAAAAAAATCAAGTGACTGTATGAACCTTTTAGCTATGTAGGAGAACCTAGGGCAACCAGCCAACCCAAATAAGGGATGATGAAAGCCAGCTCTTCTTTATATGTCCCCTGCAATAACATTTACCAGTGCTGGCTAATCCCAACAGTAATGGGATTTTGGTAGGCAATGGCTTGCAGCCTTAACCTCCTCATTGCCCACACTTACTTACTTGCTTTGTCTTAGTATAGATGCAACAGACATTAAAATGACTGTCAACATCAAGCCTCCCTCCTCATCCTCCTTGTCTCTGAAAGGCTGAATAGTGGGCTGTTTCAGGAGAAATGGTACAGTGTCTTCATCACCTGGTGCACTGATTTTGAGTTGCTGGGGGAGATAACAATTAGAGACCAATTGTACCCCAAAAGAGCAAGTACCTCCTAGTCAAAGCTGAGATCCTATCCATGCAACACACAGTCCTCCTCATGGAGCATGTACTGGAATTTACTAACTGCCGTGCTGAGGGTATGGCCAGGGTTGAATGTCTCCTCACTAAGAGAAAGACGGACATTGTCTGGTGGAGAAAGGATCTGAGCTGCCAGCTCAGGCTTCCCTGGCCCCTGTGCCTGGGTGGTTTGGCCAGAGCTCTTCTTGCAGTGTGTTTTCTTGGAAATGCACTGTTGATAACCCCAAATCCCACTGCTTACCTTCCCTTCTTGCAAGCCTGCTCTAAAGCATCGGAGGGAAAAAGAGAGGGAAAACAAACCAAATCTATAACCAAGAATAATAAGCTGCAATTGTTACTGTGTCTGACCTGTCTGACAACAGAGTGAGATACCTCCTTGGAAGGCCCTTTTGCACTTCAGGACTGACACTGAGTTGAGAGCACAGCTCATGCTTTCTTGATTCAAGGATCTCATCTTTCTTCCAGGAGGGATTAATTGGACAGAAAACATTCTGCTTTAGCAGGTGGCAAAGGGTTAGAATGAAGTTTTATCAGAGCTGCTGCAGTGCAGGGCTGCACTGCACAAAGATAATTGTCTCAGGATTGGCTCTGGCTAGAAAAAGGACAGCAAATGCTCCAGTTTTACAAAAGGTCATCACTGCCACCTCTTAGGCTACTAGCCTAAAGGAAAGAAAGGTGAAAAAACCCCTGCACCTCTCTCTGTTTTTATATCCAGAGGTGCTGGTGGCACACGTAGAATTCAGGCCACGAATGATGAGTGAGGTTTGAACCAGGGCCTCAGGAATCCCCTCCTAGAGCTACAGGCACAGGAAGGAGCAGCTGTAGGAGAGGCCCATCTGTGGGCCAGCCCCACTCAGAGGACAGAGAACCTTCTTCCTCCCTTCGAGCACAGGCTACTCTTTTTTCCCAGCACTTTTTGCTCAGATGAGCATAGCAACAGCAACCTGTTCCTGCTCTGTAGGAGCTGCTCTCAAGGAAGCAAGGAGCCCTGTGCTCCCTCTCCCCCTTCCCAGGGGCAGCAGCCAGCCTCTAACCATTAACATTCCCCCTAGGAATCAGAAACATGCTATTTGGAGGGGTACTTAACTTCGAAACAGTGATTTCTCCAATTATTTTTTCCCAGGGACTGACCTTTGAAAAACATCCTCTAGCTTCCAGCTTGTCATAACAACTTATAAAAAGGACAGTTATAGATACAATTATTTCATAAAAAAAGAGAATAATTTCTTATGAGAACCTTTTATTTTTTCAAATGTTGTTTCCCTCTTACTCTCTCACACAACTTGGGATTAACCCCCTCTTCTTTCACCTTTCATCTCCAGATCACATCTGCCCTTCTGCTTTAACTTTCCCTTTCAGAGGATGGCAACTAATAGCCAGCATCCTCCAGAACAAAGTGGGAACAGAATATATTTAAAATCTGCACTGTTATCATAGCAACAAGAATTTTAAAATGATACAGTTAAATTCCAAAAGAGTGTTATGCCAAAGTGACACAAGAGAGCAAATGTCTTAAACAATTATGGCAATAGGAATGGCTACATGGGGAATTATTCAGAATAGCCTAAATTTTACAGGCTTAATGAGTCACTCATGAATATGGTCTTGCATGATTGTACTGTACTTGTTTCAGCCCTGTGCACTTTGATTCTGTTCTCAACACATTGGTTGCTATGATAACACCGTGCAGTTTCCTGTCCACACGACACTTCTTGCTGCAATATGGGGGATAATAAATACGGGATGGTGCCTAAACCCAGGTGAAAGGAATCTGTCCCCTCACCGGCAGCATATCGGAGAGATTGACACATTATGCCAATCTGTTTTCTCATTCCTTCTATTTCTCCTCACTCTCTCCCTTTCTCTCACACTGTCTGTCTCTGTACCTGTTTTTTTCCTCTCTCTCCCTCTCTCTCTCTCTCAGCACTGACACTTTCATCTTCTCCCTTGGGGATTGGAGATGTCACTGCGGGAAGTGCTTGTCCGCCTCTCTGGCAGCAGCAGAGCCCTGTGGCTTTGACAAACCTCATTTAATTGGGAGGAAGCCAGGAGGGTTTGAAAGAACTGAAACATCCACGAAACTCCTTTTATCAGGCATAATTTAAACTCTGCATGGAAAAAACCCTATATGTATAAAGAAAAGTCAACTTCCCTCCTGCTGTGCGTGCTCCCCTCCTCCCCCCCCGGCACAGGCAGGCTCCTGCGAGATTCCATCTTTTCATTTTTCTAAAAGTGTCAAAGTAGATTTGTGCTCTGTGGCTGGGTGAACAGAAAAGGAATGCAGATGTCTCTCACTCAAGCACATACACACACAGAGCACCTTCTGAAGGGCAGCAGTTTGGGGGATTGGGAGAGATGCTAGCTGGCTGCTTCTCCACTTGGGATGTGTCACAGGAGCCAGAAATTTGGTTTTCCAATAGCTTGACAACACAGTCCATGAAGACTTTTTCTTAATTGCCCCTATCTTAAAAAACACCACCAAACTAACTAGTGTACAGGGTGCCCAGGAGGCAACAGGGAATGCAAGGTCCCTTTGGCCTGCAGCCCAATAAGAGCAAGCTTTCCCTAGTGAGGAGCAGAACTGCAGCTTGGGAGACCCTGTATTTTTTGTCAGCTCAGGCCAGGAGAGGCACAACTGTGTGTGCAGCTGTGTGCTTAAGAGAAGGGAGCAAGGTAAAACTGGGGGAGAACTGGTGTGACAGGGGACAAGGAACAGCTGTCTCCACATCAAAAGGGAGTGGGAGGAGCAGTCCAAGGGAACTGGGGCTAGCACACCATGCTGAGCAGATGGGAATTCAGGACATCAGGAGGGACCAGCGGGTGAGTTACACTGAACACACAGTGTGAGCTGGGGAGATGTCCAGGCCCTTGGGGTTACTGAATGGGGGAGAGATGACCTGTCAAAGCATATACACCTCTGCTTTGCAGAGGGCCATGGCAGCAGCCCATCAAGGTCCCCTTCTAGTATTAACACAGCGGTCAAGTGGAAGAAAACAGAAAAACAAGTTGTCAAATTCGTCACAGGATGTAAACTTTGCAGCTCATAGGAGTGGGAAGGAAGTGTAGACAGAAAAGAGAGACATCCAGGTGAATGGCAGAGACTTTCAAAACGGAGAGGAAACTCACAGTAAATAGCACGTGCAGCAGCTATTTCTTAGTGAGATGAAACTGAGAGTTAACTTACCAGCAGGAACCTGATAGAGCTGAGGAGGCAGAGGGCTGAAGAAGCTATGAAGAAGCGCATCTTGTGCAGAGATTCGGCCTCGAGGGAAGGCTGTGAGCATCCTGGAGGCCAAATTCTCTGCTGCTGGCACCCTGCTCATCCTAGGAAAACAGAAGAAAAAATAGCATAGGAGATGAGGATGAGCCAGAAAGCTGGAACCAGAACATGACCCAACCCTTCTCACCTTGTGGCAAAGATAGTGGAGGGACACAGGGGAGCTGGATAAACCCACCCAGCTATATAGCTTTGCAGGACATTTGCTTTTCCATCTGAGTTTGACTGTGTTGGGGTATATGCATCCAGGATTTCAGCGCAAACTCATGTTTACAGACAAATTTTGAAAACCAATTTCCGGTTTTTAAAAAGAAGGTTGTAAGTGAAAGGGGAAATGATGCTGAGGAGACTATATTTTACGTGATGTAACCGTAATATCAGAGTTTGGTGGTACCAGTGTACCGTGACAATCCAAATGTAGAAAATAACATGACTGACCCAATGAGAAGACTAGAGGTCAACCCTAATAAACCTAAAGAAAACACCATTTCCTTTTCTCCTACCCCAGTAGCAGTAGTGCAGCTGGTTGTAAAATGTGTTGGGGATTCACAGAGAAGACTCTGTTTCTCAGGACGAGTGCTTAAAATAAATGTGATACACATATGCTTCATGCCCAGCAAATACCAATGCCAAGTGGCTGCTCCCTAGAGGAGCACACAGCTGGGGACGAGGAAGTGGAAGAGCGAAAACAAACCAACAAGGAAACAAATAAAAATAGTCATTTAGTTTTACAGCTTTTACTTTGTTTGTTTGTTCTGATCACATTTCAGCTTCAGAGCATGGCCTGTTGTGCTTCCTCCCTTGGCCCCCAGTGGTGCTTCCCCTCCAAGTGACATCAGGGGCTGGGATCCCCCTGCTCCTACACTCCCCCTCCCTATACAGGACATTCAACATGCTGACATTTTTGTTTGGAGGAGATAAAATGTAAAATATAAAAGAAGAGGAAAAAACACCAAGACAGAAGGAGAGAAAGAGACCCTGTGGAACAAATTTGTAGAAGGTATCTGGCCTCACTGTGGTAGATAATTGCTGAATTTTCACCTAGAGAAAAACAGCTCAAGCCACCACTTCCTTGGGCACCAGGGATGGGACAGGGAGCCAAAGCATCCTGTCTGAGGCCTCTTGCTAGAACTGCATGACAGGCTGCCCTTGTCTTGGCACAGTCTTACTGGAGACCTTCTGCCCCCTGGGTCCCTGTTGCTGCAGGCTCCCACTCTGCGCAGCGACACAGTTCTGTGCCTCCCACCATGGCTCAGGCTTCCTGGTGGTGGCCAAGCTCTGTGGAGAGCTCCCCTTTGATTTCTTAATTGTCCATGGAGAGTCATGGCTGAGCAGTCTGCATGAAGCAGCTCTTTCCTTTTCCCAAGCTGAGCATTCCAAGGCAATTCTTTGGCCATGGCAGCACCAGGACTCTAAGGCAGAGCTGGAGCTGGCCCACATTCAGCCCAGATCTCTGCCATGGAGATGCTAGGCCAGCCCCTTGGTTTGACCTGTAATGGAGTCTGTCAAAGGATTATGGCCAAAAAGCAGAAGTGCAATACAGCACAGTCACAAGGAATATACTTATTTCTTTGTTCAGGCTGAGAGAGGATTTGTTCTGTTCCAGGACCTGCATTATAAGGGTTTGGGACATATTCAGCTTTCTGTTTCTCAAGCTGTGCGTGACAATGTCTGGCATTTCAGTAACCTGTGCTTTGCTGAAAACTTTAGCATGTTTGTTCAGCCATTTAGAACAGCATTTGGGAAATCCTGCTCTGAAGAGCAGTACACTTCCCTCCTAGTAAGGCTGGATCCCAAGCAATCAGCTGAACAGATAATAAACAGCAATGAAAAATGTGGTTATGTCCTCAAAGGATATTTGATTATTGGCATCTTCATGTACCCAATCTTGAGGACAAATCCTGTCTTGCCTTTTCCTACACATCTATAAAACCTGCTATGTGCCTCAAAATCAGTTTAGGGGGATTTGATTTGAATCCCTCAGCTAGGTGAGGGCACTTTGTCTGATTATAAATTTCTTTCACTGATACATATATACACTCTGTGTGTGTGTGTGTTTGTGTGTGCCTGAAAAAATACTCCCTTCTCTTTGCACACTAGGGAGTGATTCAGCAGTGCTGGTGTGTCTGGTCTGTGTGTGTAACCATGGCCTTCATCTCATAGCTTTGGTCACTAAGAATGTGATTTTTCCCCTCCTAGCTAATCACAAGATTATTTCATTGTCTCATGAAAATGCTGTCCTAGCATGTCTTCCTTTACCGCTGTTGAGCAACATTCCTACAGTCTGTTTTCAAAAATGAAAATTGGGACAGTGTGAAGTCTGTCCTCAGTCTGGGCAAGAGGGCCTGGGAAAATATGACCTTCTCAATTGAACTGTGCCCCACAAAAAGCTGCACACAAAGTCATTGAATCACTGCCTATCTCAGAATAATCACTACTCCTCTGAGAATAATAAACCCACTATGTGCCTACCTTTGCTGCGATCTCTCAAAATCAGTTGCTTAACTGATGTTAGATCTGCTTGTTACTACAGAGCCACCCTGCTCTTCCTGAGCTTGCCAAAAGAGCTCATTTCAAGTTAAATGATTGCATAAAGAAACAAATAAACCCAGAGGCAATTTTGACATTGCTGTTATAGGTAGCTTACCTGTCACAGATGACTCGGAGTCTCTGAGGTCTCCTGGAAGGAACCAGTTCTAGAAAGTGTAATATGCAATCACAAGATTAAATGAAAATCAAGCCAAAACCCATTCTCTGAGCCCCTACAAAAAATGTGCTCAGAATTTTAAAGGGCCCTATAGAATTTATCATCTTATTATTTATAAATATACTTTATTCCTACAGGACTTGAGTAGCTGCATTGATCTTAATAAGGCTGTTCCAGTTCTGTAACCCTTTCCTTTCATATATCTGTGAGTATAGGCCTTGGACCTCCTCCTGTTACAGTGTGAGTCTTAGCTTTGACATCAATAAAAGCAGTATCAGTCCCTAAAGCCTTCACACAAAGGAAGCAAAAAGAAGTTTGCAGGCCTGAATCCCCAGTCAATTGTCTTGACTTTCCAAGGAGCTGCTGAGCTTCACATATTGCCCCCATGGGTACATGGGGCTTTTCTACATGGATGCAGCAGTAACACTGGGGATGGAGACAAAGCACTTTGATCCCACTCTCTTCTTGCCCACAGCTCTCACTAAGTTTGTTGTTTGTCCCGTTAACCATGCTCATGGAGGCTTTGCAACTCGCTGATTATTGTGATCTCTATCAGACTGGAACTTGGCAGAGTTTGTAGTTTTGTGAAGTCTGTGTTCTTGATATTTTTCAAGGACGTATTTTTAAACTTTGTGGTAAATATAGAGGAATACATTCCTCAAATGCTCCATTGTAAAGCATGAATTTTCTCAGGCTTAGATACAAATGAATGGCTTAAGCCTGGAAAATTTCCCCGTAGAGCTGATGAACAGAGAGATTTTTTTGCAATCAGAAAGGCGGCAATTTCTACCCACCTACATTTTCCTGAGCACTGTTTCTGACAGCAGAGAATGAACAGTGGCACTCTAGTCATGGGAAGGAGAGCAGGAAGGGTGGTGTTCACCTCTCTTCCAGCTCAGCCTGGACAAGCATTCCCCACAGCAGGGAGACCACCAGGAGGCAAGCAGCACTGCTCTGCTGCCAGCAGACTCAGAGCTCGGCTGGGGTTGATGCTGCACCCTTCGAGAGCATCTGCCCTCCCTGCCTGCCTGGAAGCACCAGGCACTTCATTCAGGAGCTGCCTGCTGCAGTCCAAGTGGGAGTCCCCTCTGCTTCTGCCTGCGCAGCTTTTTCCAGAGTGCCAGACCCAGCGTCTGACTTGATGCACAGACAACTTGAAAAAGTGCAAATGACTGAACTTCCAGCCCTTGACCTTTCCAGCAGCAATCTTGCACCATTAAACCAGGCAAGCAGGTTGTTAAACCTCTCACAGGGTAAGTAACAGTGCAGAATTGAATTGTTCTCCTACACCCAAATACTAAGGTAATTTCTAGGGCAGTAAATGGGAATATAACTTGGGATGGGATTCATGGCTGTTTATGTGCCAGAGCACTGGCATATCACCAATATACATAAGATATATTAGCATCTTGAATACTCCCTTCCCAAATAAGTCACCAAGACTGGCAGAACACTCCTCTTGGATCATGAGTAACATTTTCACTGATCATCTTTCCTTTTTTTTGCCCCCTTGACTATAGTAAAAGTGTAGAAATAAATTACCGATGTAAAATTTCCAGATAGAATAGAAGGAAAACAATTTTAAAAATTGTTTGGAAAGGCAAAAAATTTTTCTGTGTGAGGTAGAAATTTTTGCCTCTTCACAGAGTTGGCCAAAATCTTTCAGATGTGGTAACTTTCTGTCAGAAAATTTTGATTTGTGAGATGAAAACATTTTATGACAATATATCCATTTCATTAAATATTAGTAAAAATGCCAAGATTACTTAAGTACTGTACTGAAATCTTTTAACATTAGTACTTTTAATGAGTTTAACACAGAATTGTAAAAATGTTCATTTGGTAACAGCAGGGCAAAACATTTCAATGATATCTTAGTGAAATGTCACTTTGTTTTTGCAGAGTGTATTTTCAGGATTAACATTCCAAAAAAGAAAATAGGATTTTCTTTACATTAGAAATAGAAATATCATCTTGCTTACTGGGAACTGGGAGGAATACCTGAATTATAAAGTTTGCTGGCTTGAGCAAGCCTCTTGACTTAAATTTATCTTTTATGCAACCTGGAGATTAATAATTATCTGCAAGGGGTAGTGTAAGAGCCAGTGAGCCAACTACTCCTGTCCCTGTCCAAACACATCCCTCAGTGAAGAATTCAGCTTGAGTGAGGACTGCCAAATTTGCCACTTTGAGTATACAGAGCTTTGCTTATAAATGGAAGATATGGGTAAGAAAACAGTGTGTCTCCGCTCAAGGATTTAATACAGTTAACTAATGCACTTTAAATCAGTTCAGATTAATCTCCCGACTGACCACATACAGACAAATCCTTAGAGAACGCCGAGGCCTCATTGTGTTGAACAAGGTAAAACAGAGCAGTAAATATTTTCCCTACTGTAAGATTAAGAACAATCTAAAATTGTAAACCACTGTAAACAGCTACTCCGTAAAGGTAAGAGATAAAGAATATTTAGGTAATTCAAAACAGCGGATGAACTACTGATTTCATCATCTCACAATGATGATGTAGACATAAAATGATGGGATTGTGTAGGGCTGATTGGTTTTTTTAACAGTACGACTAGATCTGAAAGGTAGCACGTAGGTTTGTTATTTTCTATCCTTATGCAAGGTAGAGCGTGCTAATGAGGAAATACCTTCCTATTCGAAAACCCAGGTGGAAGTGGCTAACGAACTGATAATGAGGCAAGCAAGCCAAAGGACAAAAGTCAAACTTTCCTAATTGATTAAGAGAGAGAAAAAGGATGCCAAGTACTGCTGGATGAAGGCAGTGGGGTTGCAGGCTCACAGAGAAAATGTCTCTCATTAGTGAAATCTCTGTGGCTTCAGGACAGGAGCAGAGCTCTGTCTGTGTGGCAGGCTGGAAACTGCAGGCTGTGCCCACTGGCACACAGATGAGAAGTTTCCCTACACCCTGGCTAGCATACATTGCACATTGGTTACAGTGCTGCTTTTCCCTTTGAGATCAAAGCCACATGCAGTTTATTATGACAATAAAAAATTTATCGTTTTAAAATTCAGTTTTCAACCATCCCATGTGTTAAATGAAACATCAACATAAAAAGTGAAATTACAAAAAAACCCCCAAAGCACTCGGAATGCAGACTTCATCTGCATTTTCACAAATGTCACGGGAAGTTTGCATTTCAGGGCCTGCTGCTTGTTGCCTCCATCTGCTGGTGACATTGTGGAAACGCAACAGACACTGAAAACACGTACCTGGGAGCACAAGTTGACTCTGGAAAGCTTCTAAATCTCATACCAAAGCCGGCAGATACGTGAAACACTAGGCTTTATTTGAAAGTCACTGTTGCATCTGAAAAGGCCTCGTGTGAAACCTGCATCTGCTCTGTGAGGTGATATTACCTGGCACAGGCAAGTTCATCATTCAGCCTGTGCAATAAATCAAGGAGTAAAGCTCACTCTCAGTTCATCATGTTATAGATAGATATGCACTGCTCCCCACTCTTTGGAGCCCAAATTTCAGAAAAAGGAAATAAAAACTAACTTGGTACATTGGGCGCTCCAGTATTCCCAGTTCAGCAAAAGCACTAGCTTAATGTCATGGGCTGTGATTCCTAATCCTTTCCTGCCCTTGACCCCTGCTGTCTAGATTCAAACTTGTAACCATTAATGGGGCTGGATCAAAACACTGGCCTTCTGGTGTCACCAGTGGTGTTTAGAGGGGATTTAAACTCACTGCTTTTCAGCGCAGTGAAATGAACACAGCAGTAGATTAATGCAAGGATTTGAGCTCACTCAGCATGAGAGCTTTCAAAAATAGTGTTAACAGAGCTGCAACTGCCTCTTTCAGGGGAAGCAAAATGAGGGAACAGAACAAATGAACAAACACAGGGCAAAGCCTTGTCACTATGGTAGGGCTGGTAAGCCTGGGGAGCCAGGGAGACAGCCAGTGAGTTTGCTGAGATGTGGGGCAGGAGCTCTCCCAGTCCTTCGTGTTCTTCAGGGAATGGCTCTCCACCCTGCTTGCAGGCCCTATGACTGCACATAATTCCCTACCCCACGCGTCTCTCCTGCAGAGCGAAGGTGACATCACAAACTGTAGGGCTGGCCACAAATGGGTTACTCACCCATCCTTCCCATTCACCTGGAGTCAGGTTGAGACTTTGGCAAACTGTAGGGAATGGGCATGAGACTGTTCTTGAACTTTGTGCAAGACACCAGGGTAGGGTAGTCAAAAACGCCTTTGCACATTTCATCCCTTGCCAGCTGCCCATAGAGGAGGCAGAGGAGCTGCTTTTCCTCCAGCTGCCCTGTGTGTGTCTGACTCACAGGCCCCACAGCCCATGCTGTATCATTTCCAGACTGCAGCAGGATGTGCTCAAGCCCACAGCAGTGACAGGAAAACATCTAAAGGTTTCCAGCTTTTATTTCAAAGATTCCTACTAACCCACCTGGCCCAGGAACCCTTCCAGTAACAATCTCAGTCTGGGGCTGAGCCTACAGTGCTGAATCCAGTGGGAGTTTTGCCATCAACTTCAATGAGAATAGGATCACACCTCAGTGCTTTGTTTTGCCCGTGTTCATTCCTTGCCGCGGGCAGGAACCTGTTTGTTTGTTTGCTGCCTGTGCTCAGTGTGAACATCAATAGGACTAGCTAAAAGAATTCATACCATCAGATTTGGGGAAGAGCTCCAAAGTTTGTTTGCTTATCTGAACCAACCCAGGCACCCAGATTCGCACAAATGGTCTGGGAATAACCTCAGGAGAGAAGGTTTTCTCAGGCTGACTCCACAGATTGTATTCGGATTGAGCGTGTCCTGGGTGGGGGAACAGCATTTGTGCTTCAGGGAAGGAGGGGAAGTGCCCAGAAGCATATAAATGGCATTTAGCTTTAAACAAAGAGACTAATTTGTCTTCTTACCAGCAGTCTCATCAAAAACTGAATTGATTTAGTTCATGAGTAGGGCAAATAGTCAAACTTTAAACTATCCTTCTTCTGTCCAGACTGGTTTGTGTAATCCAAGTGCTTGGTTCCTGTATGTGGCTGGAACAGTTCACAGCCCCTTAGGCTCTCAAGAGGGGAAAGGGATATTGCCTATTCAGCTAACACAGCTATTGCCCCAAACATTGACCTAGCACCTTCCATGTGTTTGCCGGCTCTGTGGGATGCTCCAATAGAAGTGTCCTCTGAGTCCTGCATTTCTGCCTGGTCCAGCCACAAAAGGCACCAGCATCCCAGTATCACAGCACAGGTCAATTATGCCCCTCTGGAGCCCACTAGGGAAACTTTCTATCAAGTCTGAAAACAAGTCAGACTTGAAAACTGCTTATGATTACTCGACTTCGCTGCTGTCCAGGTGCCTGTCCTCTCCTTCCCAGCCCTGCCACTTCTGGCACCCTCCAGAGCAGCAGAGGACAGCACTGCTACTCAGACAAAAGAGAGCTGAGGAAATCACTACTCAGAGCAGTTCTAGGCACTCACATTCTTTGTTGTCTGTGCAAGTGTCTTTGCTAACATAGCCTTAACGCTTGCCTTTCTAGGTTGTTCCTCTACATAGCACCAGGATACCTAACCATCATCACTCAGAGTTTGCATGTTTGTGTGTTTGAGGCTATGTATTAGCAGATGACCGACGTAAAAAAATTCTTTGATTAGTTCCTCCCACACATGAGCATTTCTGTATCTCCCAGACTACTCTTCTCAACTTGTAGACTATCCAGCCAGGCCTTCTACAACTTAGAGAAGAAAATGCTTCCTCCAGCTGTCTGCTCTGTGCTTGCTTGCCATCCAAATTAAACTTGCTGTGGACAGCGACACATTCCCATTTCACGCTTGTTTGATTAATGTGTCTCAGCTAATTGTGTGAAAGATTCCAGTCCTTTCGACTGTGAGACCAGGTTATTGTTCAGCCAATCTCGGCTGCCATGTGAAAATGGGGGCTGTTTAGTGTTCATGCACCAGAATCAAAGGAGGGGCATCTTGGACTGGGTCACAGAGCAACACCCACTTCTTTGAAAAGATGTTACTATGCTCTACTAAACCTGTAAACCTCTTGCTCAAAGCACGTCTTCTCCCTCCTCCTCTCCCCCTTGTTCTTTTTTTCCCTGTCCAGATAGACAGGCTCCCCCCACCACTCTCCTATGGTATAAGTGAGAGAGAATGGCTAGATTGTGGATGGCTGAATTTCACATTCTAGGGTTTTTAATATTTCACTTTAATATTTCTCTTACAGAATGATCCTGCTGAGAGGCTGAGAATCAGTGCTCATCATTTCCCCCTCACTGACACTTGAATATATTTTCCCAGGAGAAAACATTAAACAAAAAGAGAAAGAGAGAAAGGGAGAGAGAGAGAGGGAGAGGGAGAGTGACTGAGCTAGCTTTTCAAAGCATACTTCTCAACCTGCCCACATCAAAATAAGAGACAACTGGCCCTTTGAAGTTCAGGACACAGATTTCTCTACCAGCTCATGTGGAAATAAAAGAATCCAGCTTTGTAAATCACACAGATTTCTCACCTTGCCGACATCAAAATCAGGGACAGTGGCCTTTAAATCTGAGGTTTAAAGGTCCCCAAACCAATCTCCATAAAAATAAGGAAAGCTCAGATAAACTGCATCTCCAGGTGCCTGTCAGCTTTTCCAGTCTAAACCAGGAGACATTGGTCCTTTGCCCCACTCCACTGAGGAGTGGAGACTAAATACACTGTGAGATTTTGAGCAATGAAATCTTCTATTAGACTTATATATACCAGCACTCAGTTTGCCACACACATACCTCTGTTTGTAAACTAAGCCAATCACAGTCCTGTTGTAGGTCCTAGACCACTGTAATTAAGTAGCTCAAGGGATTTAGCAACACCGAAGCACAGGACTTTTCATAGTAAGAATGAATGAACAATCATTTCATAATAAGAATTACAAAAATGGAATGGCTCAGAGAAAAAGCTGGCCTTCTCATGAGTTAAATCCTACCTGGGTTATAGTTGGGGAGCTTGGAAAATCCTGGCCAGGTGTCTTCAGTTGGGACCCCCAATACCTGCAAAAGAAGAGAGTGAGAAGAATGACATCTTTTTGCCTATTCTTTGCCTTGGTGTGGAGTTGGAGGAATCACTCTCAGTGGAGAGTGACTGGCCTTCCCTGTGAACCAGAATTACACTGCCCTGGCTGGTGCTGGATCTACCGCTGTGCATAAAGGACACTGATGTTTCAGCACTTGATTATGTAGCAGAAAGGCTCCTGCTGAGATTGAATGCTGTTACTGCTGGGAACATCAGAGAAGGCATATGCAGCTTCACTGCCAGGTGCCACTGCTGCCTGTTTGCCAGCCCAGGGGTCACAGAGTTGAGCCCTTTTCAGTGCTGAAGGCGTCCTCCAACACCAGAGCTGCCCTGGGGACTTACTGTGCCCACTTGCACTGGCAGCAGCTGGTATGTTCAGCAGTAGCACAGGCTGTGAGCTCTGAGAGAAACCCTTGCCTTCTGAGGTAAAAAAGTAAAGCTGGCAGACAGGTATAGTATCTGGAGCTAGAAAGCAGTGCTGAGCCTCACTCTGAAGGATACAGAGCTCCAGCAGTGCCTTTGGCCTTTATTGGGGATTGTGGGCTTCAGCAGTAGCGCTCACTGAGCAAAGTCTGGGCCAGTAAAGCCTCCTCCAACTTCATTTTAGTTGCTGAAATATGTGAGATCGATCATATCTAGATTTCTGCAGTTGCAGGTGTTGTTATTATTACTACTCAATGCATGCAAAGTGCCCTGTGCCTATTGATATGGATGATGTGTGCTAAAGCAGTAAAGCCACATATTTAAGAAAAGTTCACAGCATGTGAAATTATAGTATAGATCAGTACTGCTAGCTCCAAGCATTCAAAGCTTTCATCAGACAACACCCAGAATCATCAGGGTTCCTTAAAAAGCAGTGAAATTCAGGGTTTTTATTCACTTTCTCTTCTCCAACACTAGGTTTGTCTCACATTAGTTACCCTTTGCATATGATAGACAATTCCTTTTTCTTAAAGTGTGAGCCTCCCCATGGGGAATTTGGCCTCCCCAAGATTCGTATTAAGATTGCAAGAAAACAGGCATCAGTGAAAAAATACATTAAAGAAGGAAGAACTATAAAGCCAGCTTGTGGCAGTTGGCTTGCACCAAGGGTAATTTGACAGTCCTGGGTGAGGATGCCTTCCTGACTGGTGTGTGTATCATGTGACTAATACAAGTCTGCCCAAAGCAAAATCTGTATGCACAGGAAAGAGAGAGTTGGAATTTGAACTTGAATCCAGAATTTGTCCTCTTTTTGCTATCCTGTTAGCTTTCCAGGAAGCCCTGCTCAGTGGGCCCTCATTCTTCAAGGTTTCTTGTGAGCTGTCAGACATAAGTTCCTCAGGCATCAGAGGAAACTGGGTAAGTTCAGTGCATAGTATAATCATACTTGCCAGGGTCAGCTCAGCATTCTGCTTCTTTTGGTGAAGAATTTAAACAAATAATTATTTGCATGTGCTTATATTTTTCTACATAAGGATTATAGCAAATATTACATTTTACTGCATTGAGGAGTGAAAGCGTTCAGAGCGCCAATCACTGAATGCCATATGAATGTATATTTGCATTTTCTGAGCCTTTTCTTTACAAAAGATACTTTTCCAACCTGTAAACTTGCATCTCTTTTTGTTTTCCAATGGAAAACAAATGGGGCAAGTGATCTCCTCTTCTCTTCTCTTCTCTTCTCTTCTCTTCTCTTCTCTTCTCTTCTCTTCTCTTCTCTTCTCTTCTCTTCTCTTCTCTTCTCTTTTGTCTTCTCTTTTTTCCCCACCCTGGACCTTTAGTGAGATTCCTTGCCAAATCAGACAATGTGTTACAATTAATTATTTGAAATTAATTATACTCTGACAATTGTTTTACCTGTTGTGTATCCACCCTAAATCTAGATGTTAACTCTCTTGTCCATGTTATCAGAAAAAACAAAGCAACTTCTCTACACTCTGTAGTGAAAGGTCTTGGTGCAGGTCAATTCAGCCTACTGGGGAAGAAACAGTTTCAGCCAGAAACATTTTTACAGTGCTTGTATTTCAGCAAGTGCTTTAAGATGGTGTAAATCATTGATCTTTCTCCCTGCCCTCTAACTGCTTGCTTCTCCTGTGATGACTTAGCTGAAGGAATCAACCTAGCTGATTTGGTTTGATTTTGTTGGGAAGTCTTATTGTATGTTTTGTGTTGAGGAGCCTTGTAGTCATTCATTTGGCACAATGTTTGGCTCAGCAGCAGAAGCACCCTGGTGGCATTCTGTAGCCTAATCCAGCCCGCCTGAAGTCCTTCTCAGCACAATGTTCATCAATAAGATGGAGCTTTTGCATGCAAATCCTATGCCGGCCTCTTAAAATTTGAATAATGGATCTTGATTTGGTCAGGTTTGCTTCCTCTCCATGCCACGAGCAAACTGGAGACTTATTGGACACTTCCATAATCAACACTGCCAGCCTTCGCTCCATGTTTGTCCCTGCTCCTGTGCCATGCCTTCATGAGTACCAGTGCTCATTAGGGCTACTGTTTGTGCAGCCAGAGGATGAGAAGGACAAAGAAGCTGTTCTCATTCAGAGTAAAGTTGCAGGGTCCCCAGTTCTTGTAGCCCCAGATGTGAGAGGTGACAACAGGAGCAGCAATGAGCAGCCAGGGATGAAAAGAAGCTGTTCTCATTCAGAGTAAGCCAGGGAGAAAACAAAGTTGCAGGGTCCCCCGTTCTTGTAGCCCCAGATGTGAGAGGTGACAACAGGAGCAGCAATGAGCAGCCAGGGATGGGAGATGGAGACTGCTTTAGGTGGCACTTGCCTCTAGAAGAATTTTTGGTAAAATGACAACCACTCAGTCCTGATGATTCAACAGGACAAACACATTTCACAGAATGGAGATTTTCCAACCATACATCTATATGGTGTGTGAACAGTCCCTCAACTGTCCCATATGTCCAGCAGTCCCACATGGAGATGAGCATGCTGGGTGATAGAGATTCATGCACACAAATGCAGATGGTCTCTCTACCAGTGCAGGGTGCCTCTACTAGTAGTACATGAAAGGAACTGACTGTTAGAAAACAGTAGGAATCCCCATTCTGAACCTCACACTCAGCAAAATATCTCATGCTAGACATCGAAAGCCTCTAAGGAGCTTTGAAATCTTGGTCTAACTCAGAGCCTCATTCCAGGCTGTATAATATCATAAAACCTCCTGTGAAAAGCACTAATTATTTCATAGCTCTTTAAACTTCCTCATGATTTTTAAATAAGGGGTTTTTTTGCCTTCTGTGGCACAAATCCTGTTAATCATGGTATTAGTTATAATACCAGAGAAATTACGATAGTGCTATAACCCTCTAAAGCAAAACCACAGGAAATGTATTCAGAGATTTCAGACATAAGTGTAAGGATAACCTTCATTCACACTATGAGAAACTGGACCCTGCCCTGGTTTTGAACCTTGTTAATTGGCCAAGTATGGACTCCACACAAACCCCCCCCCCACCACCCCCCAATAATTCTTTTTCCCCACACACTCTCTATGAAAGAGAAATTCAGCATTTCTTTAAATGGACTGAACTCAAGTCTAAGAATTGGATGTACTTACCTGACTTTTTATCACATTCCTACTAAAGCAGAGAAGAAAACCTTACCAAGCAATAGTGTTTCTGCATGAAGTGGTTAAGCTTGAAAAATCTGACTTACAGTCAGATTTTACAGAATGCAGCAGTCTAATGGCTATGAAGTAATTTCTCATTATTTTAATGAATTTTATTTTTTCTGTACTTTCTCCTTTGAAAACACATGTTTCAGAAACACTCTATGCATAAGAGTAAATCCTTGGGAGGAAATGTGAAAGGGCAGACACAGAATCACAGAATCTGCTGAGTTGGAAGGGACCCATTGAGTCCAACTCATGGCCCTGCACAGGACACCTCAAGAATTCCATCATGTGCCTGACAGTGCTGTCCAAAAGCTTCTTGAGCTCTGGCAGTCTTGGATGTGACCACTTCCCTGGGGAGCCTGTTCCAGTGCCCAGCCACCCTCTGGGTGAAGGAACTTTTTGTAATATCCAACCTAAATCTCCCCTGACCCAACTTCAGGCCATTCCCTCTGGTCCTGTCACTGGTCACTACAGAGCAGAGATCAGTGCCTGCCCCTCCTCTTCCCCTCACAGGGAAGTTGTGACTGAAATGATAACTCCCCTTAGTCTCCTCTCCTCTAGGCTGAGCAGACCAAGTGATACCTCCAGCAAGACCTAAGATGAATGCATAGGTTGACCTTGCTGTTGAGTCAGTAACAGGGTCAGAATGAGTGATCAGGAACGTACAGAACCTGCCAGTGCTGCTGACTGCCTCAGTTCTGCCAAACTGAATGTGGCTCTGTGTTGCTGTTTCCCCAGTAGAAAAAACAACTTAGGAAGCTCCCAAATATGTTGCTCTCACTCACTTTATAAAGTAATTTCACACTTTCCATTATGCCAAATCAGTCTCGAGAGCCTCACCATAAACCAGATGATACAAAATGTGCCAAGTTAAAATGAAGAAGGATCTCTGACAAACCTCAGGGTCTTGCCATTTTCAAGGTAGTTCCAAAGCAGTATTAGAGCTCCTTTGTGAAAATGCGGTGTGCTGTATCCTACAGTAAGTAAAGGATTTAAAAAGAAGCAACAGAATTTGCAGTGCCTGCACACCTTTTATGCCTTTTTCAATTTGATGTCACTTTAATTGGCTTTAAATTTTTGATGAGATGACAAACTTCAAAAGGAAGTAATTTGATTTACTCCTCTGTCTGTAAGAAAGTTGCCAAATATAAAATGGGTTACAAAGTCTGCTATGAATTTGGTAGATTAGACCAAATTATTTCTGCTACTCACAGGACCTATGCTTAGGACTTCAAAATTAAGTAGTCTGGAGCAATGGATTCTTTTTCTCTTCCATTTCAGAGTGTATTTTACTCACCTCCCAGATCTTCTCCAGCTGTTCATGAATACCAGAAGTTGCTGCAAATATTGGCTGACCCTGGATCATTTCCACAAATATACAGCCTGCACTCCTGCAAGAAACACAAGCTATTAACTCATTCACGTAAATGATATATATAACATGATTGTTAGGAAGGGTGGGGAGAGAGGCAGAGATAATTGTTGGAATGGAAATATAGAAATTCTGATTTGTAAATGTAGAAACCTTGATACAAGCATACAAGTGAAACAGGACGGGAGCAGACCAAAGATAAGTTACATTCACATGCCTCCAGGATTTCAAAATCCAAAGAGGTCAAGGTTCCATACATGTCTGTTCCTATCTCCTTTTCCTCATCAGCACCACCTACTAAAAAAAAAATTTCATTTTTCACCATCAAGACAAGACAGGTGTCTGTCTTGTCTTGGAAAAGAAGCCCACTAAGCACTACCTTTTTTTTCCAGTACCAAAAAAATTGTTTCAGGTCTCTGTCCATTAATCCTGTTACAAACTGTGTGAAAAAAAGATCATGGCAGAAGCCTGTGGATGGACTTCCCATGAGAAAAGGCCAAAATTGGAGAGGTTACAGTAGGAAAGATAAACAGGGAGGTACTACACACTTCATGGGCTTGAAGGATATATTAGATGCAGAAAGAACCCAGAGGCACTAACTACTATAGCCATTTTTCTTCAGAAGCAATTAGCTCTTCATTGGAAAGCTGAAGGCAAGATTTCATATCATAAAAATCTGGTCGTAAGAGTAAGTAAAATATTCTTATTTTTATGTCATTCCCTGCTCTACACTTGTGCCAAAACAAACCAGACAGCTTAAAAAACCCTCAACACCTGCCAAATTGCTGCATTTTCCTAAGGTGGATTAGTCCTCATGGCATTAATGATGAAATAGTTGTGATCAAGGTAGACTTGCCTATTTGCAACTATTCCCATCTCTTACTATATGGTGTAAAACTCCACTCATTTAGTTTTTAAGCATTTCTTTCAATTTTTTTCTGGGTTTTCTGTCTTTTCACAGAGTCCCATTGCAACTCTTCAGGTTTCAGTCTCATTCTTCTTTGGTTATATCATATGTGAGTCCTTTAGGCTCAACTCTTGAAAACCCAGCTTTGTCTTACAAGCTCTGAAAGTATTATTTTCACTTCTTAGCAATAACTGGTAATCTCTTCTGGTCATCTGTACTCCTGTGTTACCCTTTGCACCTTGTTTTTGCAGTATTGTAGTTGCTTCTCCCACCTGGCTGTGGTCAGTTGATACCCTGGCACGGAGCTCATCTGCGGCATTTATTCTGGTCATCCTTGCACACCAGGTGGTGCCAAGCCTGTTTGCAGATCCATATCTAACACTGTTTTCATAAACATCTCTGCTGCACTTTCCCTTAGCTTCCTGTGCCCTAACCTTGGCAAGTCTTGTGAGATGAGCTTCTTTGCTTGTCTAATATCCTCTTACAGAGTCCAGGCATCCCAAAACTTAAATGCAACGTAGAGTTTTCCTGGTGTTTCACAGCACAACCACATGATTAGACATTACTTTGGAGCCCACAGATAGATTCTGCTGAGCCCAGTGGCATACCAAGACTGTTTTCACAGCTGATGGATGTGTCCAAATGGCTCACCCTATTTTGCAACCACAGAGGCTGCTGTAATCGCCTGATTGCATTGCACAAGTTCAACTGTGTATGGCCAAAGCAATTTGGGTACTCTTGATTTGCAGGGGGGAGAGAAACAACTCTCTGTGTTTTTGGAACAAGTGATGCTGATGTTCTACCACAGCTTGCATTCTGATATCCTAGCCAGAAAGGGCCATATAACTGGCAAGAGCAGGAACTTTGAAAACTAATGGTAGTCATATTAGCCTTGCAGTAGAGGCCTCAGTCTTCCTTCTGAGAGTTACAGTTACAGCTCTGACATTATGAGGATCCTTCTGATAATGAGGATGATTCAAAAGCATTTACTTTTAAGTGTTTCTAAATCTGGGGTTGTTTTGCTTTTTCCCTTTTCCTTCTTTCCCCTCTAATATTAATTTCTCAAGTCTTCTTACCTCTTCTAGTCTATAAGTTTCTAAGAGGGTCTCAGTCCTATAAAATTGCCTTGGGAAGAGATAGGACAGAGGGAGGGGCCTTTTGGGAAGAGGCCTAGACATGGTATTTTAGCAAGTGCCAGATATGTACACAAATCAAAACAGTGACAGTTAAAGTAGAAGTTACAGGGATATTCAGGGAGCATAAGCAGAGCTGATTTAGACAGTACAGTTGTATCCATCTGCAATTCCTGGGGAAGGTCTGAACACTGCACTTTGCCCTCAGTCTGCAGTGCTGCATCACACAGTGGAAAGGTTCTCATCAGGATTAAGATTTAAGATATCTCTACAGCATCCCACAGTTCCCTCTCCGTATCTGGGAGTTTTTGTTGGCACTAGGAGATGGCAATTTTGTGTTTAACCAGAAATATATCCTTCCTCTTGTTCATCACCAAGCCTGGTCTGTGCAGTGGAGCCCTTAGCCAATATCTCCCAGTTTGGCAAAGTGGAGCACTGTGAACCAGGGGTGAGGAGAAGGCTGTAGTGAGCCTGGCAGGTCCATGTTAAATGACTGCATGTGAACTCCTATTCTACATGAATCTACCAGGGAAGACCACTGTGATTTTTTTTTTCTCTCTCTTTTTATTTAAATGGAAGATTATACAAGGAAAGCCTGACTGAAAATAAGACATCTTAAGGCACTCATGATGTTTGCAGGCATTACTGTGGCTGTATATAAAGCACTTGGTGTTTTTCAAAAAAAGAGGAAAAAAGTCCTTCTGTTATGCAGTGTAATCTCCCTGAAATCCCTTAATTGAATCTTCTAAAGTACTGAAGAGATAGTGAGGGAGAAAGAAAGAGAAAAGAGATACAGAGAGATTAAAGCAGCTTTTCTAGTTAGTCCAAGAGCGACCAAGTCTCCTTCTATATCTCTTTCTTCATCTATTCAAGGCCTCATTCACTTCCCATGTGCCTCCCACTGACAGTATTGCTGCTCAAGCACACTATGCATGAATTGCAATAATGTTTTATTTTGTTATAATTGGTTTCTTTAAACCAAGGCTTTGACACCCACTGTCTCATGCCATTACCAAGGGCATTCTGACCTGCCTTCATGTAAATTGTAGCATCCAAAAGACATAGGGTTTTTTTTTCCTTTCTTCCCAATAGACAAGTAACATCTGTGTGAATTCACATTATTTCCTAATAGACAAAAATTGAACTTAAATGCAGTGTACATCAAGATAATAAATGACTCTTGTTAGAGGAAGTTACTGAATAGAGCTCACTGAAGTACTCTCTATTCTCTCAGCATGACATCTTTCTTTAGGGCAAACACTTTGAATGTTGTTATTATAAGGAGGCGTTATAACAAAGGTGCCTATAGTGTGGATGTAGTTCAGTAGGATGGAGAGCACTGTGCTGCTAGAGCTGGGAACTCTGTACACCACTCCTACGTTGCTATTCATTACCCCAGAGCAGAGTTATGCAGTGGGGATGTGGGTTTTGCATAGGCAGAAATGACAAGCTTTCTGTGCATAGCTGGCTTTGGACAGGGGTTAGCTTTCAGGGGAAAAAACCAACAGACTTATGTCTGATACAAACCCTCTAATCTGCTAGGCAGGCATGTTCTTCAAACTCAGCAGACATTGCTGAGAGACTGTCTGGAGGGAAAAATGACAGGTGGTGGGGGTAGTAGACAGGACTATTTAGACTGGCTTAGCAGCTGGAAGCCATTAGAATTTAGCAAGGTTTCCTTCCTTAGAGAAGTCTTTAAATAATTAAATTAGCAGCAGTCCTAGGGAAGTAAACAGTCTAAAAACTTCCGTTTCCCTGACCTACCCTCCAGACTTAGGTCACTGGAGTGTCTGATAAGCTGCAGACCACTGGAGGGAGATACAGCCTGTGAAGACCTGGAGCTTTGCTGTTTGCAAACTTAGCCAGCTGTCTCGCACATTCTTCAGCCTGCTGCACTCCTACCCCTTCCCAGCCTTTGACTCTGCAGTAGTTTAGAGTAAGTCCTGGTGGGACAGGTACAAGCAGAAGACTAACTGGTCTGAAGAAAGGGTGAAGCAGCAATACCATTTACAGATGTAAAATTGCCAGAATAAGAAAGGTCTCCTGCAATTTCATGAGCTGCACGCTGTCCATGAGCATGTCAGGACTGCGTTGCTGGAAGTGAGCTCAGGCTGGTGCAGAAGTAAGCCAGAAGGTTGATGAACCTTACAGTTAGCCCTGGTACAGATCCAAGCAAGCCCAAAAGACCACTGAGACCCTGCAAAGCCTTCATCCTCTGCTGTTTTCTGCCCACTCTCAGAGACTCCTCTCCCATCTATGAATGTGTGGCTTATTTCCTTCTGATTCCCAAACACATCAAGATTTTTGGGTAGAGCTCATAAGGAAACAAGTCTTTAACAGACACAGCCCTTCTGCTGAGTGAAATACAGACTGCATCTGAGATATGGTCTTTGAGAAGAAGGACAAAATATCATAGAAATAATTAAATTCTCAGACACCTTTCTATCTGCAGACTCATTGAGAAACCCTGTAATGCCACATTCTGCTACCAAGGCCTAAATAATTGATGGTACAGTTGTGGATCAATTTTTTTTACACAAAGCCATTTCTGCAGAGAGTTACTACTGACTCAGCTGACTACACAGAAACGCTTGCATTGAGCAAAAGTGTTTTGTTGCAAGACACAAAAATGCTCCATACATGTTACCAGACAAGATGCATATCTCTCATAAATATTATCAGATGAGGTTTGTATCAATCCATAGCTGAGATGTAGTGACATAACTCCCAAAAACTTCTATGAACCCTCTCTGAAACTTCTACAAAACTCCACTCTCCTCACACATTTACTGCTCGCAGGTGTTAATTCCTCTACTTACAGCCGTATCTACTGTAACTTTGGCTGATTTAATTTAATTCCAATAAAAATAATATTTCCCAGGGAACCCCAGATGCTTTGATATTGGTCAGTACCAGATATCTATATCAGAAGAATAAGCTGTAGCTCCAAGCAACACATCAGGAGGACGGTACCAGAGTGTCACAACTTCAGAGGAGTATGTCTGTCTGGGGATGGACTGGGCACGAGCAAGGCCTGCAAAAAAACAACAAACCAACAAACCAACAAAAAAATGCTATGTTAGAGCAGTCCTTCTACCTGTACAGTGAATAGATGATAATAATTGGAAACAGGACATTATTTTCTCTTTAAACACAAGTAATCTCAATGCAGCATACCAGCAATTGACAAAGAAAGTGTTTCTGGAATATACTTCTGGGGCAGATCAAATCAAGTAATAGGCTGTGTTTTGCAGGGCTTTATCATTTGAGATTGAAGCAGCAATCCCAAACCAATGCTGAGAAAGCTTTTTTGGGTCACACATTGCTGTGGACTCTACACATTACATTATTTTCTGAACAGAGAGAGGTTGATTCTTTGTTCTCTTCAACTAGTTTTACATGGCGGTAATTGCTCTGACTTAAATGAGTTTAATCCCTGCACCTATCAGTATAAATACAAGAAAAGTTGGACTGACCACAGAAATAGTTCCCTGAAGTTCAAGAAAAGGTTATGCTTCTCTGCCTTAATTGGCTGTGGATACAGATCTACATGCATGCTACAGCTTTGGTCTGAGCAGATATACAGCTGTATCCAAACTGTGACTCACCAAAGTCGGCTAATTTGAGCTCACCGAGGCAACTGATGAGCAAGTTCTGGGGTTTCAGATCTCGGTGAAGAATGTGTTGTTGGTGGATGTAAGCCAGGCCACGCAAAAGCTGGAACATGAAGAGCTGGAAAAAGCCAACAAAAAACTGAAATTATTTTGTGTGACTTTGCATTGATAGATTAACTCTGAACTTTAGGAGAACCCTGGAACAAAGCAGAGACAAAGCAAGTAAGAAACCAGTAAAAATCCCAAGAATGAATAGAGCTGGCTGAGGAGGAGAAAACTGTGGTGGGTTATGACTGCCCTACAGCTTTCTGAGGTTGTCAGAGTGGAATATTTGGCCAGGAGGGCAGTTTAACTGCGGTCCATAAATGCACGTTTTGGAAATTTAACTTTTCTTTAGAAATGGACTGTTGATTGCAGGAGCAAGGTCAGCTTGCCAAAACACAGACCCAAGCTTTAAGAACAGCAGCTGTGCTGGTTGCAGTGCTCAAGACAAAGACACAAAGACACACAGCCAAACAAAATGAAAGCCTAAAGAGCTGAAGGTTTGCCCCCTTGAGCCAGATGGCACCAGCTGACTGAGTTCCATGGCCACTGCACATGCCAGCAGTGGAGCAGGGAACTGACTGACCTGGCAATGGGAACTGTTGGCTTCAAGCTGGGAGAAAACATGAGGACCTGATTTTAAAAATACAGCAAATCAGATATGATGAACGAAGCAAGCAAGGAAGAAGGAAACCAAGCAAGAAAGGAAGAAGAAATAAATATCTAACTCCCACCATCATGGTAGTCTAAATAAGGCTGGGGTAAAATAAGTTGGGCGGAAACAAGGTATGAAATTGGACAGCAGATAGAAACAAAACACAGCAAAAGTAGTAAGACTTCACCAGAGGAAAGATATTTTTCACCAGAGGTTTAACCTGAAGAGGAGGAAAAACAGTGACACCCATAGGTCATTTTTGTACCAGAAAATTGCCCCTGTAACATTCTGCATACTTATATCGTATTCCATAGGAATCACTCAGAAAAAACAAACTGCATTTGCCAGCAAAAATGAAGCAAGCGAGATGACCCTCCTGAAGGAGCAGTAAATAATTTTGCAGTTCAGTTCCTGCTGACAGTGAGTATTCCGGACAGGAAAGCAGAGCAGCTGGCTAGTGTTTATTCACAGAAATGCCAGTGAGTACATATTACAGCCATGTGCTCCGTGTGCTTTACGAGCAAGTCTGGTAGCAGAACCCTTGAGATCTGTGCCAGAACTACTACACTGCATCTCAGATGTATCTGAGCTTTCAGGATGTTTAAAATCTGAGATCCCAAAAAACTTCATTAGAATTTGTGTTGCTTAACAACTATCTGGAAAAAGATGTGAACAATGTGGCAACATTTGAAGATGACAGAAGTATTTAGATTAGTTGTGATAACAAGTGACAGTGAGGAACTTCAGAGAGATCTGACAAAGCCAGATGAATAGGCAGTTTGATAAGATACAAAGTTATTGTTGACAGCTGTAAGATAAATTAACTGAAGCTGCTCAGGAAAAGGGCCCAGGCATTCACTGAGGACATCTGCACTGAAACCTTAAGCCAGCGTGCAGCAGCAGTCCTGAAAGTTAATTAAATGTGAAGATGCATACAAAGGAGACCAGGAGACTATTATAACATCAATCTATAAAGTAACGGTACATGTTCAGCTGTGTTCAGATCCAGTCAAACAATCCCAAAAGGTATGGGAGAAACAAAAGGAATTTAAATGACTGCAAATACGAAGATAGTTCCAAATGAGAAAAGAGTAAGATGTGAAAGTTTTTAATTAGAGAGATGAATAATGTGTTGTAACAATAAGAGGACAAAAATTTGTGCAGAGATAGGTTTCCTTGCCACAAGATGTCATTGTTTTCAAAAACGGAATGTCCGCTTGTAGGCTCAGAAAATAAGAAGATGGGCTAACTGAAAAAAGGCTTGGAGACTGAGAAGGAGCTTGTTATATCATCAAAGGTAGATTTTCTCCCAAGTTTTTGTCATATATGTAGCAAATAAATATTAGTAAGTAATTTACAGTGACCTTACATAGTGGAAAACAACTCTTCCTCATGCCTTAAGGGATACAAGTCTTCTAAGGAACTCACCATAACATTGCACGAATGGAGTCCTCCAGGATGCTGGCCCATGTACTGTGCTAGATCTGTGTGCTAAATAAAAGAGAAGAAGTTGAGGCAAATCTTCTGCTGTAAATGCCTCTACCAACAATGCCTCTACTGTAAATGGAAAAATATGCAACTGCTACAAAGTTGCCCATTTCACCTAGGTGAACATCTGGCCTGATGCAGCACACAAGCATGCGCTTAAGTTCTTAAGGGCCACATCTGGGACCTGTTACCTCACCCAGCATTTGTGACCTGAAGCTGCTGGTTAACAGAATTCATACTTGTGCCAGAACAAACCATAAAGCTGTAATAAGAAGACATAGCTTCTGTATTTTCTTTATAATTTGGTTGACTATCTGCAAAAGCGGGAGAAGTAGCAAGATTCAAGTGGAGAATTTTATTGGTGTCCTGGTCTCCCTGTAAGAGCAACTCACAGTTTGGTCATGGTAAGCCACTGGGGTCAGTGCCAAATCTGACCCCAGCTGGGATGTGAGCTCATATCATTATTTCCTATCCTTGCTGTGGCTCAAAAACAGTACTTTTATTGTGTTGGCAAGGCAGAAATGGAGGTAAATAATGTCTGTCACCCCAGTGGACACAAGACATGGAATTATTTTTGCATACAGCTGTCGCATATGCAGAAAGAAAAGAGTAAGGCTGTGTGGCTGGAAAGCAGGAGATCAAGAAGGAAAATCAATCACCGCAGTACAGCATTACAACTTGTTTCTTTGCAGATGTCTCAGAGTGCAGTAAATTCATTCTGCAGCCACTTCCCAATACTTCCCAGTACTAGCTCCACAGGAAGCTAGAAAAACATCAACTCACCATGTACTCAAAGACAAATGTTAGTGTCTCCTTGGTCTGGATAATGTCATGAAGCAGTACAATGTTGGCATGTTTCAAACACTTGAGAAGAGAAGCTGCGAAAACACAAAAGGAAGATCAGCTTTACTGCTGCTGAAAGTGGAAGGAGATTGTGCACAAAACAAGGAAGCAAAACTAAAAAACTGGGGAGTAATAGTCCAGACTTGGCAGTTCTGTAAGAAGTGGCATCTACTGAGCCTGAAGGAGGATGGAACAGCTCTGCAGAGAAGCAAGCATCAGTGCTCCAGGCTTGGCAGGAGCCCATCCATCTCTCAGAGGTGGGATCTTGCCTCTGTCAGAAATAGCAGCTCACAGTTCCCATGTGTCAGTTTATAAGTCGAGGAGAAGTAATTTCTTCAAGGTAAATGCTGAGAGGGAGGACCTGGGAGCTGCCAGAGCCAGAATGCAGCAGTCTCCAGCCTGTCACTGAGCTTCTTATTCTTCTCCCCTCTGCCTCCTGGTGTGTGTCCTCAGCAGGACCCTTACAAGAGACTTCTGGGAAAAGCTGAGTCTCTACCAGTTTCCAGCTTCACAACAACAGAGCAAAATTCTGCAAAATCACTGTAGGTATAAGCTAAATTCTGAGTTTAGTTCTGTGAATAATGGTTACTGGCTCTGGTTAAAAACTCTTAAGAACAGAGATGATGAAGTTACTGAGTGAATAGTAACTTGTTTCTATTTATAAAACTTAGGCACACTTTTCTTTCAGCCTAACTATCCAAAAGCATCATTGTAACTGTGTGTTCCTGGTCCTTTGGTCCTGACATGCCTTTGCCAAACCTTGTCACATCCAGGGTGTGGTGATGCAGGGGGCAGAACTTGGAAGAGTCTCTGGCCCCATATAGACAACCGGGCACTGATTTATGCTAAGACAAGAGCTGCAGCCTTCTGGGCCTTTTGGCTGTGCACTGGGTTTGCTGTGTTAGAGCAGGCTCCAGCCAGAACACGCATGAAAGGCGCTTCTCAGCAGAAACTCAGCTTCTCAGTGTGCACAGCTTAATCATTTGCTACCTTAGGTGTGAGACAATATATACCAGTAACTCTGTACGGAGGAGGAATGTGGGGAAGAGGTGAAGCTGGGATTACTTTGGCTGTAGGTTGCTGGCACAGCTGAAGAATCTGACCCAGCTGTTCACAGACAGGGAACACAAACTACACAGAGAGAAGCCCCAAAGCCCCAAAAAGCAGATGTCCCTGACTCGAGATATTAGTTCTGCTTCTGACACAGCAGAATAGCCTCAGAGCTGTTCCAGACCCACTTTTTGCTGCTGATTAAAACCAAGTTAATTTGCTGCCAGACTACGCAGTGCTACAAATTTCATTCAAATAAGGCATGGGCATACAATCTTGTTTCAGCTGAATTAGCTGAAGCACACAATACAGAGCATGGGCAAGCTGTGGGAGGCAGAGCTTTGGTCACAATGAAAAGCTGGGGTTTTTTTTGTTTTTCACACAATCTGAAAAAGATATTTGACGAGTTTCATGCTGGCAAAGCAAATTTGTACTGGATTAGCACTTTGCTTTTTGCGACTGTAACAATCTCACCTGGTTCTAAAAGCCCTACTGCCAGAGTTGCACTGTATGACACAGCTGTGGCCAAGCCTGTGTCACTTCTGAGACTACTGAGCACTAAGGGATGCCTGATTCAGCACAGCTACTGGATTGCAAACTAGTTCTTGCACAGAGCTTGGTGTTGCTGCAACTAAACTGCCTCTGCTACTGATACTAGTCCATTTAGCTACCACCAGTATTTTCCCAGTGCATAGCAGTATGGACCTTAAACGTGCTCCACACTTGCCTATGAACCTAGTAAAAACACTCTGGCTAGAGCCCACCTGCTACAGAACAGGATAACCTGACCCTGTGGTACCTCAGAAACTCCATATGACCGGAGCTATTGCTCCAGAGGGTCCACAGTAAAATGGAGGATTCAGCGCCTATGCCTCAATCAGGCTTCTGGGAACTGCTCCTCACTTTGTTGCTTCTACAACCCCCTGCTGGGGTGTCAGGTGCTACTGCCAGAACCGAGCTTTAAACGCATTTTGTCTCTGCGGGGCTTCCTGGGGCGAAGCGTCTCTTTGTCAGGCAGCGCATTCCTCCAGGGTAGCAGAGAATGCCCGCGTTAATAAATCTTGTGCTTTGTTTTTGCTACTGACTTACATTGTAAATTTGAGGTGTCAGATGCTGCAAAGCTCAGCAGTACACAAAAGACCTACTTAAAGCAGACCCTTCATGGGATCACCCTTGTTTTCTCCCATAATGAATGAAGTTAAGACTCTCACCCTGCCCAGTAGAGCATGTTAAAGGGGTGCTGATCTTTGGTGCATCATTAGTTCAATGCAGATAAAGCTTTTAAGGTTTATTTTACTGGTGGGCTACAAGTGTAAATGCAGAGCAAAATCACCACAGCAAATGAGTGTATAGGAAACATAACACAAGCCATTTTTTAAATAGGCATATTTAGGTGTGTCTCTGCTTTCACACAGAATTGGACTAAGGACTTCGTAAACTTTCTTGTCTTAATTACAGTTATAAACCTGCAGTGGATTCAGTGACCTCTCTCTTTATTCTGAGTTGATGGCTATGAGAGTCCTTCTGTGCTTGTGCTGCTCTGTGAAAACTGGCACATCTGGTCCCTGACTCTCCATCCCCGTCACAGATTAACCCTAGTTTCACAAGTGCAGTAAGAACAAAATGGATAGCTTCCACTAATACCATAAAACAGACTGGCACAACAGTTGCATATTTTTGTGCGTGGAAGAAAACAGATTATGGTCTTCTTGGGATTGTACAGTGGATGAAAATAGAAGCCTCAGTCAAGCAGGCTTGTGAACTTAGTCTGTAGGGAAATACAAATACTTTCAGCCGAAATCAAGTATTTGCACAAAACTTCTTTCTCCAAGAAATTGAGAAATCTGCCCAGTGCTCTACAAAGTCGACTCATAAGTACAATTTCTCATTGGACTGAAATAACAGATATTATTAAACATCAGTTTTTATTGAAAGTATCTCTCTTCAGGCTGGGATCTGTGGTGCTCCAAGTTATCACCTAGGAAAGTCTCATGGTTGTAGTAATAAGTCTACAACTGCCCAATGCAACCGTGGCAAAGGCTGTGTAGTTTCTAGAGGAAGTGAGAAAGCAGCTGTGAAGGAGGCAGCAAGCAGAAGGTGCAAGGGGGCCCTGACACTGCTAGAAAGAACATGCTCTGGCTGCAGCTGGCACTTTCCTTATCACAGGCATGGATGCATCTTTCAAAAGTGCATACACTAGAGATTCCTCCTCTGTCCTTTGCGTGTCCATCCAGTCCAGCGTGAAGACATCCTCCAAGAGAGGATAAGGAAACTGAGAATTTTGGGAGAAGGACAGCTGGCACATTGAATAAGCAAGAAAGGACTGAGGGAGACATCATGGAGCTTTTCCAGGTTAAAACAAACACTGTTCAAGAGTTCCTCCATGTTCCTCTATGTCTTACCTTCCCGAATGGCTGTAAAGGGCACTCCCTCCTCTGCCTCCAGCTTGATCACTTTCAGTGCCACCACCTGGCTGTTGATCCTGTCAGGTCACAGTAGAAAGTCACATGAAGCTTCTCAGTGCTTGGCATGATAACACTAACAGTCCCCCAAGCAAACACCCAAGCAAAATTTCTGGGGCTTGCTGACCCATTCAGGCCAAACTTGGAAGGTAATTACAAACCTCCTCCATCCTGTGTTCCTCAGCAGTGAGCTGAGAGCCAGCCCACCTGGCTAAAGAAGCACTGTGCTGCTGTCCAGGTATTGCTAGAGCATGGCTTTGAGCAGTGGCCCCACTCCACCTTCTCACAGCTTTCCTGTCCCTGTGTGATGGCAGCATGACCTCAAGCCCAATACTCCAACTATGCAGAGATCACTCACTTCAAGGAAAATCTTTGCTCCCGCCCTGGTTCAGCCAGACAATCTCCTGGCACACTGCTGTGGATCAGAGTCTTTGTGATGCCTCCATGGCTGCAGTGGAGGAGTTCCCTGAAAAATTGGGATGGGCCTATGCAAATATCATGTTAAAGGCAAAACTGGACTTTTGATTTGCCTTATCTGCCATAGGAGCTGTTCTCAGCAAGCACTGGGAAGGCAATATTGCTCACCTGCTGATCCCCTTGTACACAGTTGCACAGGATCCTTCACACAGCTTCTCTAGATGTATATAGGATGTGGCAGCTCCAAACAGGATGCCTTGTCTCTGCTTCATGAAGAAATTGGTATGTATTTTAGATTGCTGGGTACAACAAGAAGCTACTAGCAGGTCATTTAGTAACTAAGTACTGATTAATGGCTGGAATTGGATAAATTGGCATTGGATAAAATATCTCCTTTCTGGCTCTGTGGATGCTGTGCTTCACCCATTTGATCCTCTCACAACATCCTGCTCCTGGAAAGAAGCAGTGTAACTCCAAGGTCCCTGTGTGCTGTACCTCCAGCTCTGGAGGGTGTGGAGCTGCAGGGGCTGCAGAGAGGGTAAAGAAAGGGATGCTCTGGTTACATCTAACAGCTGGCATAGCAAGAGGGGACAAACTGTGTCACTGGCAAACTACCATTCTACTGATGAGTTTCTTTTCTTTCTCCTCAACTGCAGTGGCTTTGAGCAATGCACATCGCTTTCATCTCTCTCTCTACCAGTCATAGATCTCCAGTGCTGGCTGTAAGGGGAGCAACTCTCTCTGTGTTCCTGTGTTGGTATGGTAGCACCCACTCAGAACACACAAAGATAAAGCTGCCTTAACTGCAGAGGGTACTTCTGCCAGCATCATTCTAAATGCACGTCATTCCCCCTTATCCTTGAATTATTCATCTCTAAATGGCCTGTTAGGGCAGGGACCAAAACTCAAATGCAGAAGTGAAATTTCAGGAAGTTTACATTTATGTATTCTTCTCTCCCTTAATCCCTCACCCCTCACCTCCTTCCTCACCACTGTATAATTTACATAGCCTATTAATTTGGCCCATACAGCATAACAGTGCTGTACACTACTCAGCTATAAACAGGTAGCAATGAATGGCAAGCAGGCTTCAAGCCCTCCCAAGCAGCTATATTGAATGGATTATAATTTGACAACACAGGATTTGCCATCTGTGGCGTGCTGCCTCCTCCAGAACTGTAGGTTGTTGGCTGCTTCCCTCCTTTACAATCTCTCACTGGCACAGAACTCACTGGAGTGCAATCTTCTCTCCCTGCTCATCACATCAAAGGCATGTATTGTCACCTAAGGTACAGATTCCTCTTTCAGTAGCTTCACAAGCCTGAAGCTGCAAAGTTTGATGCTGTCTGGTTAGCAACAATGTGACAGCTTTGCACTCCCTCAAGTGCAAGCACCCCAGCTTACCCTCTCTCAATGCAGAAGTATCACAATATGATATTAAATACCTCTGCTGTAGTCACTGCTTCCATGTGCTGAAGGCCTTGGATTTGCTGGGAGCCCCTTCTCTCTGAACAGCATCCTGGTCTGACAGCACTTACACACAGCATGTGTCCCATGTTGTCCTGTTTAAATTAAACTGTGTCTCTTTCTTTCTCCCTGCTCCTCCTCATCCCTCTGTGTCTGCAGTAACAGCTCATATGACTCGCATGAGGTCTCTGCCTCAAAGAGTCTTGTGATTTCTGCAGTTTTTCTTTGAATGTCCAAATGCACCTCTGGAGCAGCTCCACTGATTTCAGGTCCTTTGGTACATGCCCTCCAAAACTAGCCAACATTTTTCATACCTGCAGATGGAGAATTAATAAATCCAAACTTTCTGCTTGTACACATTTCTTTCAGTTAAGCAACTCGGAGAGTAGTAAGTTGGATGATGAAGGGATAGGTTTCACACAGGAGCAGGCCTTGACTTCCCTCCCTGCCTGTAGCAGTTCCAGGCTTCAGACTTCAGCCTCTGGGCTCTCAGGTGAGCTTTCTGAGCACTGTGGCTCTGCTTTCTGCAGGAGCTGTGCACTGACTGCCCTTGCTTTGGCATTTACACCAGCCTGGGGACCTGTCCGTCCCTGCTGGATTACATGTCCAAGGGATGCAATGAGGTCAGAATAACCAGAGAAAACTAATTAATCTTGCCCACTGCAGAGCAGGGAATGCACAGTGGATTTACCCTGGATATGGACAGCCAAAAGTCCCCTTCTTATAGTCCTGCACGAGCAGGACTCACTGTGCAGCTTCCTAGGACTAACACCCAACCCACACATGGGAAATGACACGAGCTGAGGGAGCAGGCATTGTCCTGTGGTATTTTTACACTGACCCGTTAGGTCCTTCAGTTTTCATTTGAATACATCACATGAAATCTTCCCTTTGCTTCACTGTTTTGATGTCAGAGAATAACACTTTTCCCTTGAGCACAATTATTTCTTTAAAGCAAAAATGTCTTGGGAAGGCAGGAACAATTTCCGTGTCTTGTTGCAACCCCACTGCCTTTGCATGTCAGGGAGTAGAGGGGAAATACTGTCACAAAGGAAAGTAAGCCAACTTTTGCCAGGTAGCCAGGGATGATAAATGAAGAAAACACGCTTATAGCTGGTGATGGTTGTTATTGAAAAAAAAAATAAATGGAGTAATCATTCCACTTAGTGGAGGAAACACTCTAATAGAAATGTTTAATAGCTAGCCTTAAAAAATGTGAGAATTTATGAAGGAGAGCCTATACAGGTCTTTGGAACCATGATTTTTAAATGAAAGTATGAAAGTTTCAGGCCCGTTCCCCGCTCAAGCAGCAGTGTCGTGCGGGTTTGCGGAGCAGGGGGGCCGGGCTGTCGCTGTCGCTGTCACCGATCCCGCATAGCCGGCCCCGGGCTCTTTATTTGCGCCTCGAGTATCTCCCGACGCACACCCACGTGTCCCTCCGGTCTCCGCCTGTTTTGTCCCGGGCAGGGATCCGTCGGCGCTCGCGCGTGCTGGCCCCGCCCCCTGCGCGTTCCGCGCCCCCGCGTGAGTCAGCCGGGCGGCGCGAGGGGCTGCGGGCAGCGCGCGGCTGCGGGCGGCGCAGCGGCAACAGGTGCGGGACGCGCGGGGCTGCGCGCGGGGCTGCGCGCGGGGCTGCGCGCAATAAGGGGGAGCCGCGCCTGAGGGCGGCCGCGCTCGCCGCGCCTGCCGCACCTGCGCTGCGGGACCGGAGCGCCCGGCACCGGAGACACGGGACAGGCCCTGCGCCGCCCCCGACTGCGCCCTGGGGCTTGGGGAGAGGCCGAAGAGCAGCTCTGACGGACCCTGGGTGTCCGACTGTAACCGCGCTGTGATGGGCTGGAACAGCGGAGATATCGAGGTGTATTTCTGTCGCGTCTGAAAGGTCCCCTCCCTCTTGGTGGAGAGAGACCCCCGACCTGTAGCTGCCATGCCCTTCATCAGCTTGCACTTGCGTTTAAAAGTGCTGTCCCTTCGCGTGCCTTGCTTGCTCGGGGGTTAATGCGGTTCAGCTTCTGGAGTGCGTGGAGCGATGGTAGCGCTGCGGCTGCAGTGTCCTGCACAGGTGACACAGTGACCTGTCACTGTCACAGACCTCCGCTTCCAGAGCCAAAGTAGGAGAGCAGCCGGAGTGCTCGTAGATGGGTTGTAGTTAATCACAGCTGTTGGAGGGCAGCAGCTTATGTAAACTAGCTGTACCTACCACTTTCAGTTTCTGCAGAGTGAGCGGTCTTCAGACGGGAAATCGCATGAGAATGTGCAAAATTAAGGCGTAATTTCAAAAGAAAAAGGGGCAGAAGGAGATTCAGAATTTTTTGTCTGAGTGTGGTAAATTTAAGATTTTTAATTGCGTGCTGTAGCAGATAATTTTCACCTGTGTTAGTTTTTTCCCCCCAGCTTCTTTACTGCTTTGTTTTGCTACCATCCTGGATCCTGGAACTGGCATTAAAAGCTTTGCGCCCTTGCCCGCATCCAAAGGGATCGCTACCATCTCTCAGTAGCCAGTCGTTTTGTTTTGTTCTGAGCAGATCTTAATCACACAACGTTAAAAGCAGTGGTTGGTGCTGACCAAAACACAAGAGCTTCTTTAATGGTCACACATTGCACGTAAGCCACAGTTGCCAACAGTAAATGATGTTGACAATTCTGTTTTGAATGAGGAAGCTTGGCGATCATCTCTTCAGAACCTGACTAGGTAATTCTGTGTAACAAACATGCAGTCTTGGTCCTGCAAGTTATTGCTAAATGTGATGCAACAAATGTATTAAAAACGTGTTTGGAAATACATAAGTAAACATGTATGAAAGCTGTAGAAATGTTTGCAGTGTTTGTTGACTAGCAGGTAAATAAGCACATGAGGCTCATGGGAGTTCTAGTGTTTCTCAAAGTCAGGGGAACACCAGCTGTTGTTGTTCAGCAGTGAATGTAAGGTTACCTTCATGTCTGTGCTGCTTGCTTAAAAATGGTCATTGAAGAGCACAGTCCATGGTGATGAGAGGAGTGTTAGCTCCACGTCATTCCCACCCGTGACAGTTGTTACAGTGTGGTAGCGTTTGATTTCTGGAGAATTAGCCTTTAACTTTGGAAGTGGAGGGAATGACATCAGTGTCATGCCAGTGACCATCTGTCTGTAGCACAAATGCATTTCATAATTGGCACTCCTTGCTGCTTTCAACTTGCAGCATTGAAAGAAAAATGTAATGGTAAAAGTACGGGCAGAGCAGTGAAGGTGCTGGTATCACACTGAGTTTCCATGCAGGAGTGTTGTTTTGTGCCTGGATGTTCACTTCCATGAATGCTAAATCTAATAATAATTCAGGTAATCTTAGTGGAAAGGAAACAATGTAGATGTAATGTGAGAGTAAGCAAGGAAAACTGCATGTTTCTGTTGGGAGGAGGAAATCTTCTATTACAATTACTTTCCTTAGTTTGTAGCTGGGGCAAAGCAACTTGCATTTTGCATTAGCTGTGAAATGGGAATAATGTTGTGCTGTCCTAGGAGTGAATAAGAACTTGAAATTAACCTGAAAGTGATTTCAAAATGTCTTAAATATGTCTCATCTGTGGAAAGAAGGCAGTTTGGCTGTTTTCCCTTATATGCATAAATGATTGGTAATGCAACCCAAAGTGTGTGCTTCTGGAAAAGAATATCTATCCCTGCCATCATATCATGCTCTTAGTTTCTAATTCACCACTGTTGCAGCTTTCTTACTTAATAATTATGTAAAAAGTTTTTCAGTTTGGCCTTGAAGGGAGATCTTGCAAAACAGCTAATCAAATGCCTGTCTTTACCTTTATTTTGTTACAATCAGAAGGTTTCATGACAGTTACATTTTTTTTTGCAGTTGAGACTCATGAAAATGAAAAAAACTTGAGTCCTTAAAAAAGACCATAAATTCTAGAAGTCAAGAATTTTAGGCCTCAGTTGCTTAACCTCAAATAACTATATGCAATGTAAGTGGTATATTTGTTGATACTTCAGTTGCTCTGCAAAGTGTTCATCTCTTTGAGTCAGTGCTCCACTGAATCATTTTATTTGAAGCTAGAGTCCTTCACAAAGGAGGCATGCTAGCATTTTCAAGAGAATGAATTGTATGGTTAGGTGGTTTTGGGTAGGTTAAAGAAAACCCTAAATTTACTTGCTCTGAGCAAGAACACATCAGGAAGTTATGGTTCCAAAATTCGCTTCCATTTTCCTTTGATGTTTCATCAACACCTCTGCTACTGAAGCATCGCATGACAGTTCCCTTGTATTTGTGAGACTCCTTTGTTAATATTTTAAAAGTTAACTTTTACAATTGTGGGTTTTTTTTCTTTTGTATTTGAGGAAGGAGAGGCTGATTTGAAAGCAGTATCTTTCTAGTGACTAGTGTGTCTTTGTGTTCCTAGAAAGTATGCTCTGGTTTTTGAGGTTTTTTTGAGCAGGGTGCATATGCCTTACCACAATACCATGTTCTCAAATCTTTATCTTTTTGAAGTCTGTTCTTTACCAGCTCTGAAGCCCAAATCACTCTTTTTAGGGTCCTGTATCTGAAAGACTGGAATTGTTTGTGTGCTGTGTTGTTTCTATATGTGATCTCCCTGGTAATTCATTATTCAGGGCACTCCAGTGAAAGTGTTGGAGGTTTTGTTAGTTATTTTAATTATTTATCAACTTGATGATTACTGTTTCCAAGTGTGCACTGAAACTTCTGTATGAGAGTTACAGGTCTGAATATATTTTGTTTCCTGTATTCATGACTGGCCATATATATTTCTCTATCCCAATGTTTCAGACTACTTATTCTGAGTCTTAATTCTTATACTAACTAATTCGTTTTCTGATTTTGTTACAGTGGATATCAGACAGCAACTGTAATAAAGCAACAGCTCTAAAGCATTTATATGTGAAACTTTGTTTGAATAAATGTGGTTATACACATGCATTAATGTAACTAAAATTTGTAATACTTCATATAGTAAGGCAGTAGATCAAGAAAAATCCCAGTTCTTTTAACACCGAAAGAAGCCAAACAGCTCATAAGAAACAAAGATTAACTGTAGCTTTGTTTTATTCCAAGAAAAGTGATACAAAGTTATCTTC